TTTTGTGCAGGTACTTGTAGCAAAGTTCTTAATTTGATTTAAATATATTTTTTACTACCAGTTATAATTACAACTATACATTTCTAAAATCGTCATAAATATTCACCTAAATGCCTTTATAAAAATATAGTTATTTAATATCGACCGTTCGACTACATTAGCTTGAGCTCTGTATTCCGTGTACTTCCATACAAAGCGAGGCTCTTGTGTATTGGTAACTAAAATAAAATATACATGTAAGCCATAGGTTTATCAAACAAGCACGTTTTTCGGCTAAAATTAAAACAAAAACTCATATACACTAATATTATAAAGTAGATAAGTCTTTGAGTTTTGTGTAGAGGGTAAATCATTAATATTATTCATTATGAAGCTAAATAATTCCAAATGATTTTCCTGATATAGCAAAAACTCTATAAATAATACCTTATAATGTTTATATATTGTAAAAGATATGAGATATCAATATGATATCGGGTGGACAGAGAAACGCCTATAAACGCTTTAGTCAGCATCGCCCTTTTCCCTTAAAAGAGGCCCCTTTTTATTAAAAGAGGCCCTCTTTTCAATACGAGGGGTATTAGGCCGTTATCCACCACGCGGGCCAAGTACAGTTTGGCGGACTTCACATATCTTTAGAAAACTTGCTCACAGACATGAAGGTTACCTCACGATGTTTTCCTTCACCGTAAGACAAGTGGTAATCTTGTTGGAAATGATTCGCACATGAAAATATCAAAGGTGCGAGACCCGGGACTTGAACTCAGTTCACTCGGTTTCGCAAGTACATTACCACAGGGCTACCACAGCCTTAGCTTCATTAGTAGCTAATAAGCTAACTTAATTAGTAATCTCATCTCGGAAGTCGATTTTAGCCTATATACAATTGTCGTGTCACTTTGAAACCTGTTAGTATGTGAAATCCGGATGATAAAATTTTATAATTATAAATCAAAAATTAAAAAAAAACCCCGACGAAAATTAATTGTCATTTAACGGTTTATTATACGACAAAATGCCTTACATCATTTCGGAAAAGAGCTGATAGTCTTACACTGTTAGACTGATATTAACCAAACAAGCTAAGAACCACCGCATTGAAACTGGCTTTTAAATGAAAAAAACCTCATCGAAATCGGTCCATCCGTTTGAGAGTTACGATGCCACAGACAGACACACACACAGACAGACATCGACGTCAAAATTATTACACCCCTCTTTTTGCGTCGGGGGTTAAAAATACAATAATTCGATATCAATTAAGCTAATCTAATGATAGAATGAGGAGGTGAAAATGAAACTCCTTCTAGGCTATTACGAAATATCGAGTTTGGTCACTTTTCGTGCTATTTTTATTAATTTTGTAGAATTAATTTTTGTATAATTACTGTCCCAATACACCAAATGGTATCTGTAAAATATTTACTGCATAGTTCATGTAGCTAGCTACCTTGGTATTAAGCGTGGGCAGACCACCAGTTACAAGGAAGTTTAAAGTAGAATGGACATAATACATATGTCAGGAATCGAAAGAGTGACCTCGTTTTTTGAATACCTACCCACTATAATCTAAGATGACTTTTAGATTGTATTGTAGCATAATTAGTGCAAACTTTATCCGTCATTTACTTAGCATGAAACGCTTGACATTTAATGTAATGGCCCTTCGATTGTTTCGACTGACATTTTAAACGCTTGCTTGTTTATAGAAACTTGCCAAAGTATGTAGACAGTTTGGTATATATGAATTATTGAGATGATTCTTAGTATGGCCGTACAGTATTGTTGGTTATGAGTATTTTTAATCTGCATTTAGAATTTTTATATATATATATATATATATATATATTATATATATATATATATATATATATATATATAAATGAATGTTGCTAAGCGCAAAACTCAAGAACGGAGGAGATTTTGAAATGGAGGAGGTACTAATAGTATTTAAAATGTCGGGAACTAAACATTAAAATAAATCCACGAAAAATCCCAAAAGATAGTTTATATTGAAAATACTTAATTTATATATTATACATATTTGGGTCTGTTTGTAGTGAACCTACTTGCTGTGCCAGCGGTCGCGGGTTCGAGTCCCGCTGGGGGCATTCATTTGTGTGATGAGCACGAATGTGTGTACTCCAGTCATGTTTATTGTGTGTATTTAAAGTTATATATGTAGAGTTATCAACTATCTGGTATCCATAACACAAGCCTCATAACCATAGAACTAGATGGCGTTGTGTGTTAAATGAAAATGAAAAAAAAATCAATTTCAAAGAAAACTGTGCGCCGAAGAAGGAATAATTGAAAACACTTTTAAAGTGATTTTATAGTCCGTACAGCTTTTTTTTTTCACAATTTCTGGTCATCCATTATATTGGAACTGTTTTAAAGCAGTATATTATATATTTTTTGATAAACTACAGTTATAGTTATATTCAAGAAACTTGCCCATTAGCAAAGCGCTCGCTTGGAAAGCCAAGTGAAATGGATTCAAACACCGGACCTGGTACCTTGGAAACTTCCTGTGCGAATTTCATTTTTAGCACGACAATAACTTGCTAATACGTTAAATGAAAATATTGTGACCACAAATGGAGGTTTGCATCACAATTTTAACAATATTATTTTTAATAGAGCAACTGTTTCTCGTAGGCTTGTCTCGGCAGAACTGTCTTCCGAGCTGTAGCTTCGTCGCAGATTTAAAATACTAATCTTTAGTTTAAATTTAAAAAAATATAAATTGACTATTAAAAAACACTTGCAAAATCTGTTTGAATAAAGTATAGGTCGTATTATAAATAATTAACTTATTGGCAATTAGCGAAAATATCTTGTTAATTAGACACAAAAACTTTCTTTTTGAAGTCGATCGACAAAAAGAAAGAACTCCAGGACAGACAGAACATAATAATAATCACAGAACACTTTGTTATGTAAAGGCATTTGTTAAGCTTACAAAACTTTGAAACTTAGAAGGTGTCTGAACTTACAAAAGTTTAAAAGGAGTTTTTTAAAAGATTTTCTTCTTTGTAAAAAGTCTGTATAAATATTGTTGATATATAATAAAATAAATAAATATGTTAAGACATTAAGACAGAGCACCATCTAGTTCCACGGTAAGCTACGAGGCTTGTGTTATGGATACCAGATAGTTGATACATAAATATTAACAATTAAACATCCATGACTGGAGTACAAACATTCGTGCTCATCACACAATTGAATGCCCCCAGCGGGACTCGAACTCGCGACCGCTGGCACAGCAAGTAGGGTCACTGCACACTGAGCCAAACGTGTCGTCAAATATAATTAATAAATTATACTTATTCAAATAAAAAAAATTATAATCTTTAGTTTTTTTGCATAGAAGGACAAATTTCGTTTGCAATTTCAAGCTATGTAGAGCTATAAAAGCTACTAGGAATAAAGGTCAGCACCGATATTCCAATATAAATGTCACATGGTATGGAGTAAACTGTTTTTGTATGGATACAATGTATGTGCCATTCAATAGTCGCATGCCTTTAACCTTTTATACATTAAATTACAAGGATATATTTTATATTTTCTAGCATTTTTTTGTATTGTGTAGAGTCGTTACGCTTATTAGCGATTTGTATTTTGTAGTAGCTATTTGTCTATACATATAATAAAATTATAACTAAGCCGAATCTGTACATTAAATATTTTTTGTAATATCTTATTGAAATAAACATTATTATCGATACAGATGCCGAATCTATAGTTTTTAGAATTTTTGTCTGTCTGTCTGTTACCGCATCACAGAAAAATCACTAGAGGGCTTTTGATGAAATTTGATATGTTGATAGCTGGTTATCCGGGTCAACATATAGGATACTTTGTAACGCGGGAAAATATCTCATTTCTGAGAAAAAATGCAAAAACTGCAATGTAAGAGTATAATAATCTGTAAAACTTAAGAATTTGGTTTTTAGTCATCTGAATGCTATATATGCGGGCAATGCTAGTATTTTATAATTTTTAGAATTTTATCTATTGTGTAGAGTTGTTTCGCTTATTAGCGATTTGTAGTAGCTATTTGCTATATGATAAAAGTTTGAAATATATACAGTTACAAGCCCTTGGTTCGTTTGGGCTTGGTTATTTTAATCTTACTTTCTACTAATGTTATAAATGCGAAAGTTTGTAAGGATGTATGGATGTCTGGATGTATAGATGGATGTTTGTTACTCTTTCATGGGATAACTACTGAATGGATTTTAATGAAACTTTACAATAATATAGCTCATATATCAGAATAACATACAGGTTACTTTTTATCCCGAATAAATGTTCGGTTCCCGTGGGATAGATTTGTTTTTGTTTTTCTACAAGCGAACCCGAGCGAAGCGAGGGTGATCGGTGAGCCACTAGTCTATACATACATACAACATACATACATATGTATATGACCTAAGCGCTATATACCTACAACTGACTAACTAACTTACTGATTAGTTACAAACATTACTAAAGTAAGGATACAAAAGGATTTGGGATACAAAGGGACCTAAAAAGAAGTGGTTCAACTTTGTTTTAAACTTTTTTCCTTTATAATTAGCTCTTTTCAGTCTATACGAACGAAATCGAGGAACGGAAATAGAATTTCTATAATCGATATCGCTAATCGCTGATAGAAAACTAAACAACACAACCTAATATGGGTATGGCATATTCTGATTACGTAATATATATACGTCGTTTTCACACATTTGTTTTGTTTTCGACTAGCGATAAGGACTGTAAAAGTAATCTTGGCTCAATCATCAAACTTGGCTAAATCCGTGTTGGTATTTTATACCACTTTAAGGATCGTAAACTACTATAAACTATCAAATAAAATTCTTACACCGACTGACAGACAGACAAAACAAATCGAACCGCTGCGTCTTTCTAGAATGACATGAAATGAGCATGAGCTGTATGCACAGTAAGTTTTTTTGTAACGAAAGTGAGCCTAAAACAAGTTATTTTGAATGATGTTCTCCTGACCGATTCCGGCCACGGCGGCCAGTCTCATTGAGACTAGCCAACTGCGCAGGAGATATTATAGTGCACCGGTGTACGCGCAGACACAACGTGCACTCTCTATTCCTGTCACTCTCATACTCCGGTGGAACGACTGCTCGACACGACCGGTGAGAGTTAAGGCGCAGGACCGACGGCTTTACGTGCTCTCCGAGGTACGGGCTTACTACGAGTATACAGAAAGACTCAATAACTAAACTTGGCCTGACCCGGGACTCGAGTCCAGGACCTCCGGGTGTGCAGCCGTACATGCTAGCCACTACACCACCGAGGTAGTTAATTTTGAATTTAGTTAGAGTTATTTTGAATATTCATGCCCTAAATAAATTAAATAGTTAATCAGGAAGTAAAGTGTGAGAATGCTTAAGTTTTAAAAAGATTCCGACGTATTGAGAACCTCCTCCTTTTTGGAAGTCGGTTAAAAATCAAAGGTATGATCACATCGAATCGTAACTCTGTAATTTGCTTGTCAGAAGTAAAAACCCTTTGAACACACTTTGTATTTATGGCATCGAGTAAGTACATAGTATTAGTAAGACAGTAGGTCACTCAGACATAGTAGCATTAAAACAAAGAAAAGCTGGCGATTTCCCATGCTTATAGGTCATTTAGGTGACCTGAATAACTAATGTGAGTAACAATACTTATTTGTTTACGTCATCAAGAACCTTGGGGTGGCATATTAGATGAAAATTTGAATTTTTTATTGCATTTTGCCTTGCAAAATTATAGCTTTATGATTGAGGATAATTTTTTTAAATACATAATTGGAGTTTTAAATTTCGTTTCTTATATACAAGTACGTCATACATAAGTTTAATTCGAGACTTAAATTAGTTAAATTTTTTAAAACACTATATATAATTTTATCGAAGAGCATTAATACCAAGTTTCAAGTTAGAATTCTGATCATAAATATTTTTTGGGTTGTATTATAACGTGTTTTTCCGTGGGAATGAGATGATCTCCCGCGGTAAAAAATAGCCTTTGTCACTCTCCAGCTCTTCCACTATCTCCAATACTCACTCACTCCGTTTCGATGTGAAAGAAGGGCAAACAAACAAACACAGAGGCTACGCCACTAATGATGTGATTTTTCTTGAAAGATAGATAATTTTTTGAAGAATAATAAAATTGAATTATAAAATAATAAGGTCAAAGCCATATTTTTATAATAAACAGTTAAAATAATCATTTTGAAATAATATTTAAATCGATTTGTGTTATAAAGGTGCAATCGTTAATATTATCCACCTGTTAAAATATTCTCTTACACGAACGATTCTACACAAGGCGTATATTTACAGTACCAATTAATATGGTAGTTACGCTATGAATTTTATATAAAGTTTCTTTTGTGCCCTATATTTCAGTTGTTTGCTTTAAATTATTATTATTTTTCCATGTCACTGCCAGTTGTTGTGTGTTGTAATAATCTGACTGATGTTTCTCACAGTTCACAGGTTCGATTTCGAATTGAGTAAATATTTGCAACACTATTGCAACTATTTAGTGAGGAACTTTGGATTAATGGAGAGATGCTATCCAGAGGAATGCTATACAAAAGCTACCTGAAGAGTATGTGTAAGACTTATGATTCTCTCATATTCTAAGGGTCTGATGATTTCCATTATGACCATCAATTTCTCAAACTTGTCCAACCATATGTATGGCCAGTGTCTCACTATTGGATACTGGCCTATATAATATGAGGGAATTCAAGGGATTTAAGGGGAGGGAAGAGAGTTAGAGATTGTCTAGGCAAACGCGCTCCAACCTGGACCTCATCAGTGCTTCCCAGCGCTGATTGTAGTCAAGCGCAATCCTATCGCACAATAAAAAAAAGATCCACCACGCTGACTAAGTGCAGATTGGTGGGCTGTAGACTTTCGAAAATTTAAAACCAGTAAAATTGCAGACATATGGATCTCCTCAAGATGTTTCTAGGATTGAAAAAAACCACAATGTGAAAACGTAAGAGATGTAACACACAGATTTGAACCCGCTTCAATTGTTTCTTTAAGCGAGATTCACTATAATATCACTATATTCGCTATAATGGTTGAACATGAAAAAATATTAAATATAAAACAGGGAAACCAAACAGTTTATAATTCAATCGATTGGGATCAACCTAAATTTAATTCGACCTTAAATTTAATACTTGGATTAACTTTGAAGTAGGCTTTATATAAAATAATATAAACGTGCATATATCAAGATTTTAATAGTTTAATATAACTTTTTATTAACAAATATTTTAACTTATTTGGAAAATAACTTAATTCTAACCGTAATAATGTAACATTATTATTTTTTGTCATATAAATGTTATAATTTGTTTTTAATTAAAAAATATAGCAAAAAATTATACTATTTTGTGTTGCACGAGAATCGAACTTAATACTTCGAACCTTATTATATTAAAAAATAACAAAAAAAAAATTTCTAATAAAAACTAAATAATAATAATACGTACTTTAAAAAGTCCAAATTAAATATTGGCTACTATAGGAAAACTTATAAAGAAACACGAGTTCAAATAAGTCGCCGTCGCCATATCCTTTTAGGATTAAGCATAGAGAATAACTAATCACTTCACTACGCATTGTAGATGCCATGTCGTAAACCTATCGTATTCAGCCCTTTTTAACGTCCCACTGCTGGGCACGGGCCTCCCTTCAGTACGAGGGGAATCAGGCCATAGTCCACCACGCTGGCCAAGTGTGGGTTGGCGGACTTCAAATCTTTTGAAAACTTGCTAGGTTTTCTCAGACATGCAGGTTTCCTCACGATGTTTTCCTTCACGGTTAAGACAAGACAAATGGTAATCATGTTGGAAAATGATTCGCACATGAAAATATCAGAGGTGCGAGACCCGGGATTTGAACTCGCTTCACTCGGTTTCCCAAGCGAGCGCGTTACCACTGGACTACCACTCTCTATGTAAACCTATCACCACGAATAGTACCCCCCATCGAATATAGCTAAGCTTGTTATTTTACATACTACCATTCACCGCGATCCCGCTCGTATTTTTTGACGATAAAAATAACCATTGTTCCTCGTATCTGAATTGCCCCGATAGTGAAAGTCTTGTTCCAGACTATAATGGGTGTAAACAAGTAGACCGAAAAACATTTTTATATAGATATTAGATACGTACGTTTGTTTGGAATTTGATAGTACCTAAAAGGCGTTTGTTTATACTTCACGCTGAAAAGGGTTGGATGAAATTTAGCACAGTATATATATGTAATAAAGTCGACTCTTACCCCTTACCCGACTTTATTATATATATATAATAAAGTTGGGTTTGTTACAACACTTATATATAACTCGAGAACTGCTGGACCGATTTTTATGATCTTTATTTTGTTGGATATGTCTTCACCCCGAATAGCAGAGTAACTATTAAAGCATCGGAAAAATTTACGAAAAAAATGCCTCTGTTATGTACCTAGGGACGTATCTAAGCAAGCGAGTGTAAGTCACTACAGTAATTCATACTAATATTATAAATGTGAAAGTGTGTTTGTTTGCTTGTTTGTTTGTCCTTCTTTCACGTCGAAATGGAGAGACGAATTGACGTGATTTTTTGTGTGGAGATAATTGGAGAGTTGGAGAGTGACATAGGCTACTTTTTACCGTGGGAGATTATCTTATTCCCACGGGAAAACACGTTATAATACAATCCCAAAAAATATTTATAAGAAATTATCCTTTTAGGGTTTTTTTTGTAAAGCTGCAGGTTCTGCTAGTATAATAATAAGTTAAATGGGGCATCAATTTTTAAATCACAGACTTGTGAATTTTATTCTAAGTATAGTTCAAAGCTAAACATAAATGGATGGGAACTAAATTCGTATTTTATTTTTATTAGTAGCTTAGCATATATTTGGTATATTTTCAGGGTTTAGATCAAAATGAAAAATTGGGCCAGACAACGGATAGATTAAAATCGAACGAGCGAACTAAATAGAGAATAGCGCTGTTATATTTGGAAATTAAGTTGAAATGAATTGTGTCGAAGTTAGACCCATAGGTATTTGTTTGTTTGTACTAATATTGTTTATTATATAATTGTTTAAGTCTATATATAAATTGCCAAAGACAAAGCAGTTCAGTACCTCTTTCTCCTGTATGTCAATCGATTTTCTTTATTTATTTTTTTTGCTAAGCTTAGGCTATGAAAATATTTTGGAAACTGTTACTTTTTATACAGATAAAATTCAAAATTGTCAATAATGATTATGATCGAATTTCGACCACTAGGACAACACTAGTTACTTTAAATATCTATAAATACATTTGGGCTTTTGTACATACTTGTACAATTATTTATCACTATTAATATTTATAAAAAAATAAATACTACCTTCTCTACAACATATATATTTCTTAAACTATCATAAAATATAGAAAATATATAGAAAAAAAGCCGATCACAACGCATTACGCAAATTGCTTTAAATAAGCCCAAATTTAAAGATTTTTATGTAATCTCTGGCTCTACTGAACCAATTTAGATGAAATTTGGTAAGAAGATAGTTTGAGACCTGGGGAAGAACATAGGATATTTTTTATCCCGGAAATCATCCCTTAAGGGGGTGAAAATAGGGATAAAAGTTTGTATGGGGAATCAATCCACGGACGAACCCGAGCGAAGCGAGGTTGAGTCGCTAGTTTACTTATAAATCAAATAAAAGTATACTTAAGGATATAATTATGTTTATTTATGTAGAGAATAATCTCTCGTAGGTACTACAACATACTCGTATGTATGTATGTATGTATGTATGTCTTTTACCAATCGAAACTTACACCATAGACTATTTCTATTGTTACAGAAACAGAGCGGCGTTCAAAAACTAGTATAAAATATTTTAATAAAACATAAAAAGTTATTTATTCCATTTCCCTTTAAATGCAACAGGGTGAAACCTTTTTGCTTATCTCAGGCTTATTAGTGCACAGCGCATAGCAATCTCATTACAGTTCTTTGTTCTAGCGCTATATGATATAAAGTTACACTTAGAGTTGTATACGATATACGTACGTTGATATTACGTATAGATTTCTCACAGATGAGATATTTTCCCGCAGTAAAAAGTATCCTATATATTTAAGATAACCAGCTGATGATTATCATCCCAAACATAAAAGTCCCTCCAGTGGTTTTTTCGTGATGCGGTCACAGACAGACAGACAGACAAAAATTGTAAAAACTATAAATTCGGCCTCTGTATCG